TAGATGCTAAATCCAAACAACCACTAAATTATATAATCTTAAACCAAATTTAGAAATAGTTTGGGAGAGATTTAACTATTGTCGGGAGATATTGAGATAAATGCGGACTTCATGTGTGCTCAATTTTGTGTGAATTTTTTAAGGCTAATAAGATCAAAATTAGATGAAAATCTTATGTTAGGGGTCGATTTTTGAAAATGGGTGTTTGATAAGGGCATTGCAATAATCATTGTATAAAAAATTTTAAAAAAAATTGTCTCATTGTGAAACGTCTTTTTTTAGTCTTTATGACTTGAGTGATTAAACTTACAAGAATATTTAAAATTTGGTATCCTAAAGTCACATGACTTGGCATTTATAAGCCAAAAACTCGCTACATTGGTCATTTAGAAAATTTAATGAAGAGAAGTCTGCACATAACATGTGAAAAAAGAAAAACATTTAATAAAAAAAGGAAAAAAAGATTGTTACATGCCTTGATTAAGCTTCAAACACTTATTTGAGAGAGTTAGGCTTTTAACAAGGGATAATTAGCCTAGTCAATTTTTTAAAGTTGAAACAATCAAAAAATAAGGAGAATCCTCATTTGTTGATATGTGGAACTACAATTAGTAATATGTAATCAAAGTAGCGAGGGTGAAGACTAATATATAAATTCAACGTTAAATCACACCTTGGGAAAATAGTTATAAATAAGTTTGGGAGTGTGATTCTCAAGAGAGGAGAAATGGTAAATTTGATCATTGAGGGTTAAGATTTGAATCACTTTATAAATTTATGACACTTGACACGCCGTTTTGCATTGAATAAGTATAAATTAATTCGAACATTGTGATTTTGTAGTAGCTTACGACTTAATACATATATTCTAATCCTGAGATCAAAAGCAAATTATTTAATCATGTGTTTTTAAATTTTTTTTATTAAGTTAGACTATAGTTTTGTTTAAGGACAAACAAATGTACAAGTTTGGGGGTGTTTGATTTGTAAACTTATCTAGACTAGTAAATTAGAGTATGTGTTAGTGAATTGGATAAGTGATAGCTTAATTATATATTAATTATATTTGTCAGGTTAAACTCAACGCAAATTGGTGGAATTTGAAGAAAAGAACGAAAAAGGGGCAAAAATGAAAGAAATCCGAAGTTTGGGACCAAAATATTAAATATTCAATAGTTAATTCGGACCATGAAATGATTAAAGATCATATATGATCAATTGAATGCAATTAGAGTCAAATGAATGAAATAAAATTGAAATATTTTCACAAAATCAATATCCAGCTAAAGAACATATACTCCGAATTTTTAGCCTCAACTTGAGACTCATTTTTCGGATAGCAAATATTTGAATTAGAAAAATTATATTCTTGAAGAATTGTAGCTTTGAGTTAGCTTTTCATTGCACTTTAAATCACCTCAATTAAATATTGAGAGAGAAAGTTACGACCAAAATACCGAAAGCTATTCAGGGATGACTTCACGCAAACTGATGTATGCTTGCATTCTTGCCTGCGCAAAACACCAAAATTTTGACCCAAGAGTCATATGGTTCGGTGGCGTGTATGTGATGGTTATGCCTTTGTACGCATGAGTTTTTCAGACTAATTAGTAATTTTCTTTCGCTATTCAAACTCTTTTGGGACCTAAATTGGACGCGATTTTGACCTATTTGTGGATCTTATAAATAGAGAACAAGGGTTATACATTGAAAAAACTCTCTCTTGCTTCTTCATTCACATTGAAGAATTTAATTTTGGACCTGAAGATTAACATCTTTTGTATTCTTTCATGATCTGGAGTGATATTTTTCCATTATTATTATTATTATTATTATTATTATTATTATTATTATTATTATTATTATTATTATTATTTTTGTAATTTATTTAACGTCATGCTAGGTTAGATTTGTTTTTTTGTATTGGACAAGATGAACCCTGTTGTTTATTTGTGTTAAATTCAAGACTAAATCATTTTTTGATTAATTTTGTATACCCATTGCATTATTTAATTGATTGACCACCAATTAGATAATTAGTTGCATCAATTTTGTACGAACATTTGGTGCGCCACAAGAGGTTTCTGTTAGTGTATTCGATAGAAGTGGGCGAAGGTTGTAATGAAATTTAAATGGTTAACGTCGAACAAAATAAATTTTTGTGATACAATTCAAACCTGGATTAAGAATCGGTGATTAACTATATAGTTTTACTGTAATAAGCATATTAACTTCGAAATAAGTTGCATTTAGAGGTCTAATTTAAAAGGTACTCCTGTAGCCGGGAGCCACTGTTCTCCATTAATAAGAGACCTCACAGTATATCTACTAGCTTCCACTCTAGGAGGATTAATTCTTAAACCTTTCCAATACACCCTACTACTAGTTGTTGCACCAGGGCCCCAATTATTATACTCCACATATATTACAGTCTCTGGTGGAGGCGTATTGTTGTTGAACGGCAACCACCCTTGTGGATCAATCAACTTATCCATCAAATTATCCAAGTACGCCGCGATAGAGAAATCAGTCAGAGGCCTGCCTAAGTAAGTCCTGACGCCGGTGAGGTCCTCGGCCGCTCGAATGATGCAATTTTGTATTGAAATTCCTGTATAGTCCTCTGGGAGGAACTTCGAGTGAGAGGTTATGACATTTTCTTGTCCAGGCAATGGCCTTCGAATAAAGATGTGACTGTGCTGTATAACAGTGGCTGATAATCCAAAAATGAAATCTACAGTTCCATAAATGAAGCATTCTCGAAAGAATTGGCGCATGGATTGTGGATTTAGAGAATCTTGATAGCCATCAATGCGGCATCTGTAGAAAACTGATTGATCGGAATCTGAATATAAGGCAACAGCTTGTTTCTTGATTGCACCAGCTGTATTCCGAAATGTCATGTCTCGAGCTATAAACCCCTTGCCATAAACAGCTGCGAAGAGAAAAATAAATAAATAAATAAATAATATATATATATTTCTTCTAAGTATGTTAAGTAAATATTTTAAGCTTTTCCAGACGTGCTCTAATACACATATCTGGCTGTACTCAAAAGCTGCTTTATTTTTTAGCCGAATCTTTTGTAATATAGCTGACAATAAAGTAGAAAGAAATTTTAAAATTTATATAAAATAAATTATTACGGAAATAAGAATAGAAAATAAGGTGAATATGACTGATACGATGGACATCTTTACGCAAAGATCTATTTATATACAAGATTGCAAAGAATCTAAAGAATTATGCCCAAAAAAAAAAAAAAAAGTTCATCAGATGCTGAAAGTTGTAGATATTTCTAACACTTGTTATGGTGATCTATATAGGAAAAATATGATGGATATGATTATACATTTCCCCGAGATCGTTCTAGGCTTAACAAAAGAGCTGAGTACTTTCTGAAACTTTAGGTTCAGATGTTGGTGGTGAAATCCTTTTGCAATAAATCAAGCCTATAGAAATTTGGGAAAAAGAAGGATGCAAAAGGATAATGTTATAGAAACTTACAGAAAGTTCCAGTCAAAGATGTTTTCAATCCGTCGGACGTGCTGGCATGGCCAGAAACAACAGTCTTGTGTATTCCGTCACCAAACATCATGACATTCCATTTACTAAGCTCAACCTTAACTCTTTCAAAATAAACACCCTTCTTCACATAAATAACAAACCTTTTACTACTGTAATTTGGGACAGCATTTAGGGCATCGCTGATTGTTTTGAAATTTCCAGAACCATCTTTTGCCACTACAAGATTAGGGTTCATATGATTCAAAAACTTGGAATCTGATAACTTCGGAATATCCGTTGAGCTTATACGAGTGTTAAGCTGTTTTGTGAGTTGAAGAGACTTTTTTACCAATTCAACGGATTTGTTCAGTTTTTCCTCGGCAAGATTTCTTGTTTTGTCTATTTCTCCATCAAATTCCTCAATGCATGTATAAAGGTTAACACCTGCACCACTCAGCCAGGTTTTAATATCATTTAGTATTGTCGAATCCAACGAGGACTCACTTGGGGATATTAATGAATTATTGAGCTTATAGAGTGCAACAGAAATGTGTACACGACAACTTTCCAATGCTGAAATCGCTGGTTTATCTCGGGCAAGTCTTTGAAGAATTCCATCCTGGGAAAAATCTTTGAAGGCTCTTGAAAGTTCATGAATGGTGGAATGAACTGATTGTTCATAAATGAGTTGAGCTTGAATTTCACATCCCGACTTGATGAGTTTACCTTGAGACAGCCCAAAAATGTCTGCAGCCATTGTAATAACAATAAGGAACAATTTATTGAAGAAGGCCATTGTTTTGCAGATTGTGTTGGTATTTTATGAGAATGTTCAAGGCAACAACCAATTTTATATATACCAAAATTTATGAGCATCTATCTGTTTTGTGTGAATCATTCAATAAATTAGCATTATACAGCATTACAGTCAAATGAAATGAGCATCAAAATTGTTGATGATGGTCCCCAAACTTTTCAATTTCTTGCAGACTATATTTAAATCTTTCATTTATGCACTCATAGTTCTAAACCTTTTATCTCGATTGCAAATGGAGGACATATGGAAGGAACCCATTTATTCTTGCATTAGTTGACCAAAAAATTAAAAGTTTGACTCATTTTAACCCATTAAGCGAAGGGTAAAATTCTAATTTTACATTCCTCTCATAAAGTAATTTTAAAAAAGATTACTATTCATCTTCTCCAAACCCCCACCCCCATCCAATCAAATCCACCCTTCCCACCTCCAATAATTGTCGCCACCACCTTCTCCCCTACCAGAGCCACAACATGCATACCACCAACCAATCTACCACATGTGGCGGCGATGACAGGTGGGAGGGTCATGGCGGCGATTTTAAGAGGTGGGGATAGATGGATTTAATTGGGTGGCATGTAGGGGAAGAAGATAAATAGTAATTTTTGTTTTAAAAAAAAATAATTTACGAGAGAAATGTAAATTTACAATTTTCCTTTCACTTAATTTTTTTAAATTTTTTTTTTTTTTTTTTTTTTGGTCAACTAACATAGGAATGGACAGATTCTATCCATATGTTCTCGAGTTGCAATCAAGATGAAAGATTTGAGATTGTAGATACAAAAATAAAAAAATCTGAGGTATAGTCTGCAATAAATTGAAACGTTAGAAACTCCAGCTACTATCCTCCCATGATATTCATTAATAATTAATTAATTAATTAATTAATTTTTGGGATTGCTATTGAAATAATATGAGAATGTTATTATAGCAATTTATTTCTAGGTGTCATCAACTCATATTTTAATAGAATTCACAAAAAATTAGGTACTTTCAACTAAATTTTAATTAATTCCATTAAAATTTAAGTAATCCCAACAACTCATGGATTTCTAAAATTTTCATTAACTCAAAAGAAGTATTTTTGTGGATTTCGACCTCATAAACATACCTGTCGAACTCCTTCAAAATCCCAGCCTGGTACCTCAATTGAGTGGATTTCGAGCCTCATAAATATTAAGTCAAAAGTATTTATATTTATAACAAAAATTAAAAAAATAGAAATAAGAATAAATAAATAAATAAATAAATAAGTAAGTAAAAGGAGAAATTAGTTGCTCATTTTTATTGAAATGTGGGCTTCCAAATGTAAAAAATGAATTAGTTCATTCTCATTTAAAAACTCTTTACAATTAAACATGTTTTTTCAAGTAATATTTTGTACATAATGCTAGATACTCGGAGCGCTAATTAGGAGGTCCCGACTTTGTCTCTTTGATGGAATAGATTATGTATGTAGAGTGTATATTGATCACAAAGGTTGGCCCAGGCTTAGTTTCTTCCAACCAAAACACCACAACCCGACAACAACAAACCAAGACAATAACCAAGCTTTCACTTTCGGTTGCCAAAGAAATAGTTCATTTAGGAGACCACAAAGGTATACAATATCTCATATGCAATCACCACACGAGGTAGAAACCAAAAGGAGGCAGAAGTGTAGAAGAATAATGCAATGGCCGAGAGTCACAGAGAGAGAGAGAGAGAGAGAGAGAGAGAGGCGCAGATGGGTTCTTCCTGCAAAAGGAAGAGAAAGACCCAATATATTAAGTCAAGTGGCCCAAATATGGTAAGTAGCATCACGTTAACAATTGGGTCAAGTAGAGGCCTAATAAGTAGAAAATGGGCTACCAAGTAAAGTCTCTTATATTTGGCCATCCAAAAAAGCGGGTTGGGCCATGAGCAATACTAAAATATTTAGGTTTCTTCAAATGGCCCAATTAACCTTTATGTCGTGTCGTCTCGATTATGGTGTTATAATTTCGTTCAATCATTTGGCTAAACTGACTGAAGATTAAGACCGAATAATATCATAGCTCAGAGAGGTCGTTTGACAATAAATTGCCTAACAACCTCCGCCTTAGTGTCGAAGGACCTGCAAAAAGAAAATGTCTCCCATTAGTGACACCTCTAATAGAAAACCAATAAAATTGAAAATCATTTATCTGTACCAATGTTTAGAAGATCCTTACAACTTCTAAGCTTTACCAGTGGTAGCACTTTCATGCCCATAACTAAAGGGTTGTATTGTGTGTAGACCTTTTCAAGTCTTACCACCTCTTGAGATACATATCTCTCATAAAAAATAGTCTAACATCAATGTGTTTAGTATGTTTGTGAAGAATAGGGTTCTTGCATAAACGTATAGACGACTGACTATCCGAATACACTACCACATAATCATTCAAGACACATAGTTCATAAAGTAGACCTCTAAACCATAGAGAGTCTTTAATTGCTTCAGTGGTAGCAATATATTCTGACTATGTTGTAGATAGTGCAATAATGTGTTGTAACTATGATTTTCAACTAAAATAAGAAATAAATAAGGTAAACACGTAAGAGGAAGTTGATTTCCTACCATCCCTATCTCTCGCATAGTCAGCATCCATAAAACCCTTCAATTTTATGTCTTCTTACTAGCACTAAAATTTAGACCTATGTAACCAGTACCTTTCAGAGTATCTTAATAGCCACTTTAAGGCTTCTCAATGTTCAAGACCTAAATTAGACATATACCTACTAAGGGTGCTAACAGCAAAACCTAAATCTGATTTAGTGCAAACCATCAAATACATTATGGAAATAATCACATTAGAATACGAAATTCTATTCATGTATTCTAATTTACGTTTATTATAAGGAGCTTGTTCTTTAGATAAAACTAAGTGATTAGCTAGAGGCAACGTGATAGGTTTTCAATTATTCATATCGAATTTCTTCAACACCTTGGATATATATGGAGACTGATGCAAAAAAAGGCAGAAGTTGACCTATATATTTCAATTTCCATGCCTAAAATTCTCTTAGTCTTACTTAGGTTTTTCATGTCAAATTCACCACTTAAATTTTCTTTTATGTTGTTTATCCACTTAGATGATGAACTAATCAAAAACATGTCGTCTACATAGAGCAACAAAAACAGATAGTTATTATCAACCTCGTTGTGTTGAAAATAAAAACAATGATCAAATTTACTTCTTTGGAACCCTATAGTGAGTACAAAAGAGTCAAATCTTTTGTACCACTGTCTAGGTGACTGTTTCAAACCATACAAGGACCTTTTAGGAAAACACACATGATTAGGTTTTAGTTTGTCCTTAAAACCTTTCGATTGATTCATAAAGATTTGTTCATCACCATGTAAAAAAGCAGTTTTTACATCAAGTTATTTAAGTTTCCAGTCAAAATGTGCAACCAATGCAAGTATGACCCTAATAGCAGTGTATTTAACAACAGGTGAAAAATCTCATTATAATCAACGCCCTCCTTCTATGTGTAGCCCTTAGCCACTAACTTAGCCTTAAACCTTAAGGGTTCCGAACTACTAGTACTTTTCTTAACCTTAAATACCCATTTGCAATCAACGGTCAATTTATTCTTAGGTCCAAGTACTAGCTCTCAACTCTTATTCTCTAGAGAACTCATCTCTTCTTTCATCGCTTTAAGCCACTCTTTAGATTGATCACTATCCATTGCCTCTTCAAAAGTTTTTGGCTCTTTATCAACTAGTTCTACGTAACTAGCATGGGCGAAAGCTAGATCAGATTCATATCCGAACCTCCTAAATTCTCTCATTTGTCTCCTCTCTCTATCCCTAACTAAGTTGTAATTAGCTAGATGATTTTCTTCATTAATGTGTTCCTCTATTACTACTTCGTTACTATACTCCACCTCAGGTTCCTAAACTTGAGTCTCCACCTCATTTGGAGTGGTAAGAACAGATGTGCTAAGTTTTTCTAACTTCACCTTAAATCGATACTCACTTCACCTGGTTCAGTTTTACTCAGGCTCAATTTCGCCTTTAAGACAAGGCATATCACCCTCGTTAAATGTTACATCCCTACTCACGATGATCTTAACCCCCTTTTGGCTTCTATCCCATAACCTATAACTCTTAACACTCTCGGGGTATCCTAGAAAGACACACACTTTTTAGCTCTAGGTTCAAGTTTTCCCTCACTCTAATGAGAAAAAGCAACACAACCAAAAGTTCTAAGCATAGAATAATCATTCAATTTACCAGATCATCTCTCATGCGGAGTATTACCATTTAAAGCAGCAGATGGAGTCAAATTAATTAAATAATAAGCAGTCATAACAGCTTCACCCTAAAACGACTTTAGGACATCGGAATTTAATATCATGCAACGCACTTTATCAAGTATGGTTCTATTCATCCTTTTCACTACCCCATTTTGCTGGGGAGTGTAAGGAACCGTCTTATGTTTTGTTATTCCATTTTCTTTACACATACTGTCAAATTCAGTGTTGCAAAACTCTAGACCATTATCTATCCTTAAAAATTTAATCCTTTTGCTAGTATGGTTTTCCATTTGTCCCTTCCAGTTATTAAAGTTGTGAAAAGTTTCAGATTTATTTTTCAAAAGATAGACCCAAACTTTTATAATGTAATTGTCAATAATCAACAGGAAATACCTATTCCCACCAGATGTAGGATTACGGGCCCCCACAGATTAGAATGCACATATTCAAGTATGCTTTCAGGTTTATGAACACTAATGGAGAACGATGTTTTATGATGCTTACCAAACACATAATGATCACAGAATGACAAATCAGACACTCAGTCATTATCAAATACACTTTTTCCATTAAGTAGATTAAGTCCCTTAATGTCTATGTGTGCAAGCCAATATGCTATGTATGTGTGTGATCAACCTTGGAAAGAGATAGAAGAGTTCAAACGTCTAATCACT